GTTTTCCAGGGTGAAAATGACAAATACCAAGAGTTGTTACAGAACACCAAGAATTAAAGTCCTCGTTGTGTCAGATGTCAGCCGAGCAGGCGGGAGGTGCATGAAACTGCAAAAGAGCTACAACTGAAGATCCAAGATGGCTGCCACACCCACTCATCCTAACCAACATGAAAACTGAATTTATTTTACAGACGTTGGACTAAAACTAGACCCTTTGTGCTCCAGCAGATCTTGTGAAGCGGCTTGGTATGGAGCAGAATTTCATTTTGAGGATTTGACCAAAACAGAAAAATCATCATTTCAGAAACGGCAGCGGTGACGTGAGTTCAGCAAACTCCTTTAATTCCAGTTTAATATTTTGGGATGTGTTATTGTGGCAATATTTAGACATGATCGTGACAGAAGTAAATAAATAAAGATCTCACAAGCGTGGCGTTTAAAAAACTGGATTTAGACACGGAGCGTTTTAACCCAGAGGTTTTGAACTGGTGACATCCTGACCTGTTTTACTGGGACAGCTGGAAGTTATAAAATCTGTGTCAACGTTTGAAATCCAGCTCGGAGTTTGTTGACAGGAGGCGGAGCTTGGGCTCGCTGTCGGAGCGTTAGGAGCCAAGACTCGGAGAAAAGAGGGCGAGTCCGGCAGAGGACGGTTGAACTCACCTGGATCAGAGTCAGGTCCTCCAGGTTCAGCCTGAAGAGGTGATTTCTGTGAGAGAAATAAAAAAATAAAAACACGTGATGGAAGAAATATGTGAGGGGCTCAGACACATGAAGGAGCTGTATGGACGATAAATATCTTACCTGTTGTACATAGCTCTTTTTAAAGCCTCAACTTGGAAAAATATAGTGAATTTATAATTAAGTTTACACGTTAGCCATGTTTTGTTTTGTCTTTTAGAGACATATGTTATTTACTTTTTTCATTATTTTTATTTTTTGTCATCCACATCTGGCCTGCATCAGCTGATTAAACCCAGCTGTTTCAGCTCAGTAATCACTCCCTCCTCAGTGAGATCACTCCTGGTTTCCACATCACTTTGGTGTGAATTCAGTTTCCTGGTGTTTCCTGTGTGTTGCAACGTGCCACAACTGACAAAGAATCCAGATGGAAGTGCTGAAACTCGTTGCTCTTGTTGTGTTTGCATTAGCAAATAACCGTAAATCTGTGTGTAAAGAACTTTATAATTTCTCAACAATCTGAAGGTTTTTATAAAATAGAGTTCATTAGACTTAATCTGAAGTTCTAAAAGTTGTTTTAAAAGCGATGCTGCTCAAAGAGCTATCCACAACAGGTAAGATACTAATTATTCAAACATTATAAACTATCATGGTAAAGTTAAAACTCCCAGAATCTCTTCTCTTGGGTAAAAGGAGTTGTTTACTGGGTCGCAGGAGATAAAACTTTATAAACTCGTTAGAAGCTGAAGCTCGTGGAGTAAATGATGAATGAGTGGATGCAGCAGGACTCTAATGAGGACGACGATGACGAGATAAAGCATGGCCTCTTTTTGACGAGCGTTTTCTTAGAAAGTGAACAAACTCTGGCAGTGAAACTCAGATCAGACTAAACTGAGTGATTTTACAACACGTCTATGGGCTGCACTGGACAATAACACAATTCTGTCTTTGTTTTCAGCTAAAATTATTATAAATAAGCCAAAATATTATGGGAATAAATGAATATCAGACACTTTTCTGTGAGAGCAACATCCTAAAGATTTTCTTCTTCTGTGTGAAAACTTTAAAAATATATTAAATCATTTTCTCCACAAGCGCCCGCTTTAGTAATAACTATGATCAAAACAGATCTGAGCTATTTGATGGTTTGTTTTACAAAAAATGCACAAACTTTTGATCTCAAAGAGGATTTTTTCCCCAGAGGATTAATCAATGACGACATTTTTTACTTTATAGAAAAAGCCCCGAGTTGAAATGTCAACAGAAGAGTAAAAAACAAGCCGTCGCAGTTTTTACCTTTTATAAATGTCTCGCTCAAACACAATCATCTTCACACATTTAAAACAGAGCGTGCAGAGATCAGTCTCCTGAAGAGCAGCTGTCAGGCAGGTCTGGCCGCGGCCTCCTGCTTTACTTATTGATATTTGCATCGATCCCTCCTTCCTTCCATTATCTTCAAACTTGGAGCCGCGGCTGCTCCATCAATCCATCTCATCACCTTTCACCGCTCGGCACGGAGCAGCTGTTCAGCTGCCACACACTATTTAACTGAACCTCTTATTTCTCTTATCTGAGCACAGCAAGCATGTGCTGACAGCACTGGCGTCAGAAGCATTTGTAATGTGTGGGGGGGGGTCCAAACAAATACTTTTGTAAATGTGGGGGAGACGTGTCCCCTTCACATTTAACTGATGTGACGCCTATGGTTGACAGAACCAACTGAAATTCCATTCTGTTCTTTTTGCATGCTGCCAAAGGTGAAACAGCAAAAACATATGTGCCTATATCTAACTGTACTGTTAGCAAAATATTTCACGAAGCACTCAACTAATTTTAATGAAATTTAAAGACTTGGTTGCCATCGACAACGGTTGAACTTTTGGAGCCGACCTGATTCAAGATGGCCACAACAACAGTGGTTTCAGCAAACACTAAAATGATCATAGCTGTTATTTTAACTGATACTGAGCTGACATTTGGTGTGGTAGTAGCTGACAGTCAGTCCCAACGCGCCATCTGAGTGCCCACAGATTAGTCTTTTCAAGGTTAAAATAAAAAACTGTCATTTCTCAAAATAACGATCTTAGTCTAAAACTCTGCGATATGCACTCCTTCAGTAAATGTTGGGCCTTCATTTTTATTTTCTGAGCTCAACTTCATATTTCACCTCTCAGACCTCACGTTTGTCCATTTACAGTTTTCCTGACGAGCTTTTTCTGTCGAACTTCTGGCGCTGGTGTTAAAAAAACTCCCTCGGCTCGTTTTTCTCTCCTCCTTGTCTTTCTGCTCCCGCACCAGATGGTTTTCTGCTGCCTCTTGTACGTCACGTTGTGACTGCTCCTCTCTGCACCGACACCTGGGAGCAGTAAACTGAGCCCAGCTCAGCTTCACGCACCATCCTCGCATTAACCGCTGCTCAAAGACCAACAACGTAACTTGTTTTAATGAATGCAGCTGAGATACTTATTTAGATATCATTTTCCTCTTTTTATATTCTATTGATGGGAGTGGAAAAATGTGTACTGGACAGACACAGTACAAATATATGCATCGTTTTACCTCTAATAAACTGCTTTTATATATTTTTTAGATTGGAGTTACTTAAAAATTGCAGCAATCTTGTTTTGACTTATCCATGTTAGCAATTAGCTCTTTAATCCAGTCAAAAATGAACTATTTTTCTTAAATCTGAGGCTGTTCAAAGAGCTATCTACAACAGGTAAGATATTGTTTTTAACCTTTCCATGGAACCCCACTACTAAAAGTCTGAACTATTCCTTTAACCCTGACACTTTAAGTACATTTTACCATCAGATGAAATACTGTGCATCGTGAGAGACATAATGTTTTCCACAAAATGAAGACGACTCTCCATAATTTTACCATCTGACCGTCAGAACACAAACGATACACTGTGCTCGCTCACACGCACTCACACACACACACGCGCGCGCACACGCGCACACGCACACAGCGAGGCGCTTGGCTGGGCTTCAAAAAGACAATGGACTCTGCTCTCCAGCACCATTTTTCTTTGTCCTCTGAAGACATCTTCAGAGAAACTGATTGTTCCTCGTGCATCAGCAACAAACAGTCAAAAGAAGAACAGAAGAAAAAAACGACAGAAGCCTGAAAGAAATGAGAGAATTAAAAACCAAAGCTGGTTTTGGGTTACCTGGCACCGACAATCAGTTCGTTCTGGCCGGGGTCAAAGGTCAGCTGTGAGTAATCCACCGTGCCCTCTGCTTTGAACCTGAACATCCACGGCTCCATTTCTGCCAGAAAACACCAGAGAACAGTCAATCAGAGCATTTATGAACTAAAACCAAGAGATTTTAAAGATAAATCTGTAAGACCGTGTCCGTCCATATTTAATGATTCGAGTTTTTACACATAATTCATATTTGCAGCACATTTATCTGAACGTACAAGTGATAAGCTCTGGGATCAATCAGTCTCAAACTGTGGGATGAAAGACGCCGTACGTTCTACGAGTTTTCACATCTTCGTGTTATTTACATTATGGGACATTGTTTAAACTCATAAAATCATCTTAACTGGTCATACAATCAAACAATTTACGTGCAGAAAGACGGATTCATTAGCTCTTTATTTAAAAATTATTTCTAAATGTATTAAGAAGAGAATAAAAGCCATGTTCAAATCCCTAAATTAAATAAAGCTTTTCATTATTACGCTCAGACGTTAGTGATTAATTAGAAACGAGCCATGAAACATGAAGATTGATCAGAAATCCTTTAGTTCATGGAGTCTGAGCTCGTCCCTGCTGCGGGGACACGTACGATCGTAAAGAGACGTGGACGTCTCCCAGGCGGACACGGACATCTTGTCCACAACACGCCTGTTCTCCTGGCGCCCAACCCATGAACCCCTGACCAATCCAACCAGTGACGGTCTGGTTACTGGTTCAGTGAGGGGTGACGTGTTCTCCATCATCACCTGCTTGATTTGTAGCCACAATACTGTAACACATGTTGGATCACTGTGAGGGACCGGAGCTCCTCCAAAATCACACAAAGCTGAGTTTGTTCTTGTGGTTATTAAAGTAAATAAAAACTAAAAGTTTCAAAGGGACGTTTTATTTTTTAAATTTGCCTGGGAGCTTCTCCATCAGGGCCAGAACAGAGGGAGAGGACATGTTGAAACCCCTCCTGGAAACACGTCATCTGCTTCTTCAGGCACACCTGGTGTTTGAGACGAGCGCTCGCCCTCCCTGCACTGCATCAAAGCAACAACTCACAGTTTCAGTAACAGGCGTGGGATTTCTGAGCAGTTCACACCAAAACAAACGGAGCTAAATTTAAAAAAAGAGACTCCTCTGAAGAACATCTGCCTCCAGCTCGTGTACTGGGACCAAACCAGCTCTGGAAACAACAACGTGTGTCGAGACGGCGTCACAAAAACAACGGGGATTTTTTTTTTGTCGTTCGTTTTCAAACCTCCGGCCAGAAGAACAAACCAGTACCAGACGCACCGCGCAGGAGATGTGTGAGAGCTCGGACAGTGTGTTGAGGACGACTCTCGGCTACTGCACCCCAACGTTTAGCTGAACATCTGCAGAACTGACTGGTCTGGGGTCATTTTGTGTTGGACAAGGTCGCTGGGCTCGACTGTAGATAAACATCCAGTAATTAATTTATGATGATTATGAGATCGTGAACTGTTGCTACAGGCACAAACAAACAAACAAACAAACAGCAATAATAAACATGTCAGAGGTCACGACCACATACTGTTTCATGGACAGACACCAAGTTTTAGGTGAACACAAGGCAGATCTTAGGCAGACGGCTACAGACATGACACCCCCCGGGAGAGGAGATGCCATTTGACAAACCCCAGCTTTCCCCCATAAATCTCCCAGCCCCACCAGTGGAGGGCTGCTGGGGGTGATGGAGTGTGTTTCTATCTGTGTGTAGGAGAACGTAGTTTGCAAAAAGGGGCCAAAAGGTTCTAATTGACCAGAACAGCCTTGGCAGGATTTATGTGTTTGTGGCGAGGCCAAGGAGCCGTTCATAAACATTCATAAGCAGAATGGATCGGCCCTTCCAAGGATGTGCAGCTGAATATACACGACGTCCCAAAGTCACTTTCAGCCGGGATAAACCAACTCGTTCATGAAGCACTAGAGGGATTTTACAGAACTTATTAACTCGTGAGAGTAAACCACATTCAAGATGTCCGCTGCACAAATCATGCCGGACATTTCAAACTTTTACTTTGAAGGCGGCAGGCATTATACATTTCTTCAAGGAGTTCTAACTTTATTATCCAGCTCATCTTATTGTTTTAAAAAGACAGCTGTTGTTTGAGTAAGATATCCACCTTGTCCCTAACTAAGTAGTTAATAAGTTAATTAACAGCCAGTCCCTCTGCCTTGTTAGACTCCAGCTCCGTCAGCCATGTTGCACGGACTCACGTCAGCTTCGTGTTAAATGCATGTGATAATGTAATCTCATCATGACCATGAAAGTGATGGCTGAATCGAGGGGACTGGCTGCAGATGAGATGAAGGCAGACGCACGCAGGGTTGAGATGAAGAATGAAATTACAGCCAAGGTTCTGAGCCAACACACACATTACTGCACACCACCCCTCCGCCTCAACTTATCCCCTAAAACCCCACGACTCCCACGCCTCCTAACAAAGCAGCCCGTCACTCACAGCATTTTGTTATTCCTCGTCTGACACGGAGCACTTGACACAAAGACAAAATGACAGGCTATATAAATATTTACAGCAAGCATCAGAGGACGCGCCACTCTTTGCTCGGTCAGGCCTTAGCGTCACGGCCGCACCGTTCCACTGGACCCACGTCAACATGTGGGATCGGTTCAGAAACATCACTGGATTTTCTGCGTGTTGTAAACGAACGGCACAAACGAGGATTCATTGAACTCCAGGTGCAGGCTGGTCCTCATCTCAGAGCAAAAGAACGGCAGCCATTTGTTCACAGAATGCTTCAAACAATCAAATTCCATCTTATATTACAGATCTTACTCTTCCATATTTTCCTAACAGAGCACTTCACTCTTAGTCTGCAGGTTTACTTGTGGTTCCTAAAGTTTCCAAAAGCAGAACGTGACACAGAGCTTTCAGTTATCAGGGTCTGCTCTTGTGGAACCACCTTCCAGTTTCTGATTATGAGGCTGACAACCAGTCTACTTTTAAGACTGGGCCTAAAAATTTATTTTTTGAGAAATCCTATAGCTAGGGCAGGGATTGATTTCCTTATTCGTTTAAATAAAGGTTGAATGAATGAATGATTTCCTGAACTATCCCTTAGTTACACTACTATAGGCTTATGCTGGAGGACAAAGTGAAGAGCTGCTGTCTACACTCTCTCGTGAGTACAATAGTCCCTCACTACTTCATGGTTCGTCTATCGCGGACTCACTCTATCGCGGTTTTTCAAAATAAGATTAAACAACTGGCTGATTGATGGATCAGCCGCACGATCGGCATGAAATCTTTATTTAAAATAAATTACTTTAAATTATTTAGCACCTCTTGCGCAGCCCACACGATAAACTTCCTGCTGCAGCTGATCCGCTGATCTCCGTGCAGAGCGGAGAAGTGGGCGTGGCCAAGAGCACTTGCAGGTGGCTGAGAGCAGAGGAGGCAGGGAGCTGAAATTATGACATTCTGGGCTCTTTTAGAGGTTTAGAAACATTATTTAGAATATTGCAAGAGTGGGAAGGGTTTAAAACGCCTTTATACACACACACACACACACACACACACAGTATATAAATAATAAAATAAACTACTTAGTACTTGTACTACTAATCCTACTTTCGTCTTCAGAGTACAGATCTCCTGTGATAAACGAGGGACTCGTGTATAAGTATTGTTGCCATTAACCTGTTTTCTTCCCATAGGAACCACAACTGGACCAATCTGTGTTTGTCCGCCTCTTTCCTGTTCTCTCAACCCCCAGCCTGTTGAGACAGATGGCGCCCATCCTTATAATGGTTCTACTGGAGGTTCCTTCCTTTCATACTGGAGTCATTCCTCTTCACTGCCACCAACGTGCTGCTCAGCAGGGGGTGTTGCACCAAAGGGAAAATTCAACACAATCTGCTGGTTCCCAGAAAGAAAACCTTTCTACCTACTGGCTTTTCATAAGAATGTGATTGTAATGTTTTATAATTGGTTTGAATTGACTGTAACTGGATTTGAATTTGGCTCGAATGGACTCATTATTCTTGCTGTATAAGCTAAGACAGCTTTTGTTGGTGCTATATAAATAAACTGCATTGAATTTAACAAAAGACCCCCCTCCCCCAACACCTGCATTGTTGGAATCAATCCAAAGCAAAATGTGAGGTCATTTTAGACTTCCAAGGTCCGCCCCATGTTATGTGGAGCACGACTAAATGAGTACATTTTAGAGCTATAAGTCAAACTGCTGCTCTGTTCTGAGGCGGCAGGCTGTGAAGGAATCAAGCAAAACAAACCACCATGAAGCCACACATACTGCAAGAACACTGCAACATCTTTAAATCTACATGCATTCAGGGGTTCAGGAGATGAGACCTGATTTTCACAGGATGGAGAAGCACGTGGAGCAAACAAACCACGCACAGCATGAAGACGTCTCTGTACGTTCAGGTTTTAAAACATAAATCACTCGTTAATGAAAAAACAAAGATACGTTTTGTAAAAAAAATCAAGCTCAAACGAGTTAGATGACTGTAAATTTTGAAGAATCATCCCCGAACACCTAATTAAAGCATCCCCGAGTCGAGCTGCATCCTGTTGCCTTCATGAACACGGCGAGGCCGTTTGTTTGCCTCCTGTTTCCACTCCATCTTTCCGGGGATGTGTTGGCTGCTTGGGGGAGATAAAAGCCGAGCTCGTTGTGTGGCTGTAAAACAAGCTTGTCGGTCACACTCTTCAATGATACGCCCCAAGTTTGGCCCGAGGAGCATTGTTTACACCGTAGCTTGTACCTTTTAAAAGCCTTCCATCCTGTGCAACCCTTGTGAAGACAACACCTCGTTAATGGGTTTACAGTGGAAGGTAGAATAACGCTACAAGTGCTCAAAAGGTTTAACCAAAATGTACTTTACCAGAAATTATATTCCTCAGTTTTCCAGAGGAACGGTATCCTTTGGGTAAACATTTATAATGATGACACTAAACTTTACAATGCAGCCCAACATCTCTGGAAACCACCGCATGAAGCAGAAAACAGTCTTCAAACTTTAGTGTCCCTGCATTTACAGTTCTGTCAGCCAAGTGTTGTGCC